GTTGGCCTTTGAAGCCCTTTGAACTCACTGTGCAATGTCCAACACACGAATCTCCTCAATTATCCCGAAGGCCAACACGGAATTCTAACCACTACCTGCAGAAGAAAAACACATCTTTGTGCACTTTTGGGGATTGTGGCGGATCAGGGCAAGGGCCTAGGCCAACGCGGGGTGGCCTGGACAGCAAAAGAGAGCGTTGAGAGTGAAGGGTCGAGATTAGGGTTTCGATGCGCGTGACCCAAAGGAGATGACGTTTGACAAATGGTGCTTGACACTCCAAGGGACAAAGCAAAATAGGCTTCTTTAGGTTTCTAAGTGGCTGGGTAGAGGCTGAGCTAGAAGTCTTATGTGAGTCCACAGTTCTCTCAAGTAGGGTTCTGCAATTCCCTTCCAGGTCCTGGAGGCTCGAGGAAAGTATGGTCCGCCATTCGCAAACTCGTAAAACCATTTCCTGAGGTAGGGTTGGTGGGTAAGGCTTGAATTGTTCCTTTACTTTGGGCCTGGCGTGGCTAGGATGTAGCCTGTAAACCCTGCACGTGATTTCGGCACCGCTGGGTGCAAATATATCGACCGGGATACTTAAAGCCTTGGGGTATGAATCAGCTGCCAACCTAACTAGCCGACAAAAACGTAGGCGGGTTGAAGAAGTCTACTTTGTGCGACATGTTTCTGCTAACAATGGAGATAACCTAATCCATAACCCGAAATTTAACCCTCAAATGTCTTGGTACGCCCGCACATTAGGATTCAGCGCGATTTGGGTTCAGGGGTGTTCAGGGTTTAGGGCTGTCTAGGGTTTAGGTAGGTTTAAGGTTTAGTTTTTTCAGAGTTTAAGGGTCTCTCGGGGTTTACGGCTTTTAGGGCTGTGAGTTGTTTAGGGTTTAGTTGTTTTCTTGTTTTTTCTGGGGTCCCGTTTTTTTTGGTTTAAGGGGCCGTTAGGGTTTAGGGGCTTTTAAGGCTCATGGATTCTTGGGGTTTACAGTTTTTTTAGGTTTATGGGTGCTTTTAGGGTTTAGGGGCTTAGGGTTTAGGAGGTTCATAGGGCTGAGGGGTTTTTTAGGGCCTAGAGGTTTTTAGGGCTCAGGGGATTTTAGGGTTCAGTGAGTTTTGAGGACTCATGGGTTCTGAGTTCTTAGGGCTTATTAGGGTTTCGCTTCTTCAGGGTTTCGGGTTTTAAGGGCATAGGGTTTAAGGATGTTTAAGGTCTAGGGTCGTTTAGAGTCCGGGGTTCTTTAGGGTCTATGGCTTCTTAGGGACTTAGTCTTTTTCTAATCTTTAGGTTTCGAGTGTTTGTACCTAGCCAAATCCGGAGGTGTGAAATACCTTGTGCATTGCAGCTACATGGCAGATGGCCTTCAATACTGGCTACATCCACAGGCTGCGGGAAGGACCATCCTCGTACAAGTGATTCTTGGCGTAATGGTTGGACAAGGAACGCAGACATATGCCTCGTGTTGGTACGAATATGCTATTGAGAACTAATTGTGTGGCATCTCGCGCCCTGTGAAAGTTCAATTCATTCCCCAAGTCTTCCGCCTGCATGCTCGAGGGCCCCTTTGGCAATGATTTGCCCGTGCTTAGCTGGGAATGGGGGCGCGGAGATCCCCAAATCAGACGCTGCAATCCGTTAGAATCACTCCTCTGAACGTTGCGCCTAGGATTCGAACCATCGCCTCAGTCCCAACTCAACATGAAGTGATAGGTGTGGAGCATTCGTGGTTACGCAGACGCGTGCCTTTCGCGGACAGAGCGATTGCTCTAATGTTTTACGTGTATCAAGAATACTAAATCTACTTTGGGCCCCAAAGTCTATAGACAGGGCTGATACCAAACGTTCTGCAGGACTGTCGCAAGCTGGAATATCATAATTCCAGAATAGGAGGTACTTGGGATCATGCAAAACTGTGCAGTCGTGCTTGCCTAGTAGGGGAGTGGAGCCTCATAAGCTTCGTACAGTGCTACCTATATTTTCTCCTACAGTCCCTACATTCCCTCGGTACCCGCCATGGGGGCCCCAAGTCTTGTCTGGAACGAGCTTCTTTAGTACATGTGCAAACCCTGGCGGATGCCATCAACCAATTTTGCATGCCTAGTTGTTGAATATCCAAGTTTCCGGAAAACCTCCACGCCTTTGTCTGATGGAGTGCCTTAGCACCACAGCTCAGGCGATGACATTGAAAGCGAAGCATAAGATGGGACTTTCCCAGTATTGGGGGCACTTTTCTGGGGACCCCTTCATAAGTAGTATCATACTCGGGAGTCTATATTGGGGTTCCCCTATTTAAGGAAACTACCAGACTACCAAAATAGTTTTACGGTTTAGGCGTGGCATGAGAAGCACACCCTGTGCTTTGTGCAGACTGCATGCGAGCTTTACAACTCCAAGCATCCAGCTCCCTAAAAAAGGGTTCAGGGTTTTGATGCATCCCAAATACTCCGTATAAATCCCACATCAACCCAGTTTCCGATGTATTTCCATATTCATTCCCATCTGGTTCGCCATATTCTAACTCTAAATCCTTTTTGCTCTCTTTGCATTCCTGCGGCCCAGCACGTACTGCTCCCCCCAAGCAAAGTTGGCGCTCTCGTGAAGCGCTCGCTCCTTCTGCTGGCGTCAAGCATGGGGAGAGTGGCTGGAGCTCAAGATCAACTAACATAGGTTGGGCTCTTCCCAGCTTCCCCACCCCCATTGACACAAACAGTTCTTGCAGAATGCAATTTGTCCCTGATCTGTTTCCCATTGATGACTCATGTGGACCGGGGACAGGAGCCAAGCATGAAATAGAAATAGTCATCGGGATAATGGCTGCTGCTGTTTCGGTTGCTGCCGCAAGCGGGAGTGCTGGAAATTCTCGGTTTTGGTAATGGCAACTTCGGCGCTCAAAACGTTTGCGGTAGATGCGACTGGGAAGAGTCAAATAAACAAACAGACTCTCCAATTTTGAAGATGAGAAGCCGAGTCGAAACAAAAGCCAACCCGGATTCCGATCGCTGAATGCAGAACAAGACCCCACTGGCAATGTTCGATGACGAGCCGTTGAACCCTTCACAGTACCCAACATCTCCTGCCCACACATGGCAACCAGATCCTGCTCCTGAAAGCGGTATCCTCGGTCTGAAGCCAGGTGTGAACATCTACATCGATTGCGTCTCAGCATTCGTGCATTCTAGGAACAACGTCATGCTGAATTCGCAGGGCCACATCTTGCTGGTGTGGGAACGATACCAGAACGCTGCGAGAGGTATTGGTTTCTCTGCGCGCTGAGGCGCTTTGGTGGTGGAATTTGCAGATCGTGCCTGCCTTGAGCCGCACGAAGTGGCCAGCAATTCCAACTCCCAAACCGATTATCGAAAGTCACTTCTCTCCACGTGTGAGAAACCCTGAGCATGAACTAAAAAGTAGTAACGAACGCTTTTGGACTTCTGGTCTCAAGCCATTTCAACCTACGGCCTATGGCTTGCCTGCGGCAGATTGAGAGGTAGGTGCGCAAGCGGGGCCTGTGGAGTAGCACCGCTATGCGTTCACAACACTTCCATTCTGCTATGACCTCGAACTCTCAACACATGGCCATATACAGCTTATTACAGGAAGACAACAATTAGTAACGTTTGAAGGACTTCGTTCGAAGACCGGAACTTCAGCAAGGGTTGGGGCCATGCATCTGCAAGGTGCTATGAGGCTGACCATGGTGTACTGCTCAGGGTTCTCAGCCCTTCCTCCGCTACATGTAGCAGGGTTGCGTGCCGGTGCAGGCTAGTGGCCGAAGATCTTGTTGAAGAATAACCTCGCTCGGAGGTTAAAGGCAAGTACAACCCAGTTATCACTGCACCAATCATAGCCATGTCTAGGAACTTGGGAGCATGAGAAGAACAGTGAATCACCAGAAGCCTCCAAGCAGCAAAAGAATGCCGCTGACTGGTTGACCGCTATGCCTATATCCGCTAGAAAAAAGCGGGGACCCAGAGGCTCACAGTATCTTGGGCCGCACATATCCGCGTGGCCCCTGTTTCATGGAATTGTCATTCTGCTGCTGCAGGAATTCTTGATGGCACCACAAGTGCATGTGCTGTTCTCATGGCACGGGGGGGACTCAGGCTAATGAAAAAAAATCTCAAGCGGGTATTCCTCAAAATTGGCCTCCCACGCCAAAAATCTCCAGAAATGCAGTCGAGATTTTGTTGCGCAAAGCTGCCACATCCTCAAGCTTGAAAGTTAAGCCTCATATGCGCACCTGAATGCTGCGAGCCCTCTACTTCATAATCTAGCCCCAGTGTCATGGGGCAAACAAAATTTGACCCCAGAGAGTCTTCCAATTCGCGCAGATAGAATACGTACGCCCAAATGGGTACGTTTTCCTAATGAGATACTGGTGTGATGACTTGCCCAGGCAACGCCAGCGGGCCTGAAGAATATGGGCTCTTTCTCTCAGCCTTAAGTTTAGGATGTAGGGCCGGGCTTAATTAAAAGGCCTAAGCCCGAAACCCTAAAAGCCTCAAACCTTGAACAATTTCAAAAAATTCAGTCTTGGGTACCAGACGCATTGTGAAGCTTGCCGGCTCACACGCTGCCGGGAAGCACATGCAAGACATCGGCCATTATTGTTGGAAGACGCCTGCGTCGTGGCCATGAGCAATTGAAGAAGAACACTTAGCTGGCTGTGTGGGGAACAGTCTGCTTCTGATCCGTTTCAATGACGGTTTGGGCAACCTTGCTGGTAGCCGCTGAAACATAAAGGTCCAATTATGATACCACACATCCTGCATGCCCTTAGTGCGCTGCACTACCGTAATTCCCAATGCATGAGGTGCTTGGGATCTCACAAGATTTTGAACATCAACTGTAATACAAATACCAGCTTGCTGATTCTTAATGGTGCTTAAGGAGAGATCGGAGAGAGGGCTAGTGGATCCTCACAGTAACCCCTACATGATCATCAAACTTCATATCAACAGTAGTTCACATCTTGCTGCTTCCTAAACAAATTTAGTCCTCCGCATGCCTGCGCGACGGGCCCGAGCCGAGGTTCACAATGTAGCGAGTTTCGTGAGAACTGCAGGGTACAAAGTAAGCCTGGTTGGTCCTTGGTAGCGGATGAGACCGACAATGTATGGGATCTACAGTCTGTAGGGCTCAATGTGTTGTCGGCCGCAGAAAGGCCTGCAACACATGCAAAATTGCAATTCCAGGAAGCTCCACTCGACCATCTGCGTATTTGTAGACGGTTGTGTTGGAACATGGCGGCACGAACCTGAAAGCTCAGGCAAGGACAATTGCCCGAGAAGGTCTTTGTCCCTACCAGATGTCACTACAAGCACAGCCGCTGCATGCAGCTGCATGGCGAACCATAATTTCGGTGAGAGAAAGGACAAGTCTTACATACACGTTGCGGGAGCACACCCTCGCGAAAACCCAGAACAAAAACCCTTTCCCAAGTCCCGTCCCGACAGCGCAAATTGGACATCTGTCGGGCACGGATCCATCGCTCACCCGCGCTGCCATGAATCCTGCACAGTAAATCCTGAACAACAAGTACACCAGAAAGCCTCACTACCCACCAGCAAAACAAGCCAGTGTCCACGCTGCTTCCGGTGATTCTCACAAGCTCCGGAAACCAAACGCCCAGCGTGGAGCTGAACTAAGACGGAAATCGAAAAGCGAAACACACACACACGCAGTTGGAATTGTTCTGACTGACGTGGTGTTATGCCGCAACATGCAAGGGGTCTTGCATAGTCGAACAAAATCAAGGAAAGAGCGAACTTGTCGTGAGAGCTTCTGTATTTTTCGACTAAGCGCTCGGGAAGCATCTATGCGTCATATCAACTTCCTGGCTGCAACTGGAAATTCTCCAATGCAAATGTAATCCTCAGCCCCTATACTGACATGTTTATGGAAACCTTGCATCACCTAGGGTTCGTAAATGACATGGGCTTAATTGCTGAAATGTAGCTTACGCAGTGAGTTGAAAGATTTCCATCAACAGTATCTGTTTTGCTGCCCCTGCTCTTGTTACCTTCAGCTACCGCGTTGTGTTGAGTGAGTTTGAGGGCCTTGGCCCCATAGGACGAACTGACAGAGACGCCCTTCAAAGATTATGGCATTGAGGAATGTGCCTGAAGTCTCACCAGAAACCTTAAGCCTTAGTACAGTGTTTTGTGCGTTCCACAATGTTTATTGTATAGAGTATTAGTACATTATAGTATATTATAGTTTACCAGAGTATATGAAAGGATATTGCACGATTCGGAAGTCCTGGTCCTAGGCAATGCTCGCTACACAGCAAGCAGCATCGCCAAAGAGCTGACTTCCAATTAAGCAGAAATGCCTACACCCTCCAAATGCGCTCGATGACCACGCAAATACGCTTGGGATCCTAAAGCATACATTCAACAGAACTTGGGGTCTAGGTACAGACTGGTAGCCTATACCTTCAATTTGGTCATCTGAGCTCCGAGCTGTCGGGTGGCGAAGATGCCTTCCGTTGATTCATCGTAGCCTCAATATTCAAACGTGGCTGTGGTAAGATAGAACGTGTTCAACTTGCCCGCTCTCTCCCTCTTTTGGCTGTTGCCCAAACGCGCCGTGCTTTCCCGTACGCGTCTGTTGGTACTCGGCCCTTTTCCTGTTGCGGGTCTTTCGAGCAGATGCATCCGATGGTTTCTTACTTATGTGATTATGATTGCGGCATTGCGCTGCATGATCGTGTATGCAACACCTGATAGCCCAACATCAAGGTCTCTGACCCCAGCTAGAGATAGGAAACGCGCCAATGTCCCACAGCCTCTACCAAAAGTGAGTTGACTGCAACCTAGTCCTGGTGTGTCGCGTTGGGAACCTACAGGTCCTGATCATCATTCATTGTTTGGCATGTCATCTTGGACAGTCAGCTCTTTTCTCCATCGCACGTCATTGAGTAAGCGAGAGGACCACAACAATAGCAACAACATTCGCTGTTGCAATCCTCAGATAAAACTCTGTGACTCACAACGTGTATGATCAGGCGGCCCCGTAGAAAGGGGGAAGGGGCATGCCAGCTTGTCGAAGCACTACATTGCCGCTGAGACAACGCAGGGACACTGGCCATCCTAAAGGCAGGAGCTCATTCTGCAAGCACAAGCACGAACTTGTGCGGATAGGGTCGTTTTCATTGTGGCTGCCCCTCACCACCACTGAAATGCCAATCGCATGGAATCTGGAGTGGGGCGGAGAAGATAAGAGACATGCTGAAGTCAAGTGGCCGTTGTGCTGTAGCACGAAGCCCCGCTTGCCGGAAATGACATCATCTCGCAAGACGAACTTGGTGATGGCTTGTGCCTGCCCAGAAAAAGGCGGAAGCTTCCCGATTTCAACTTTGACTTAGGATTCGGGGCCCAGGGCAAGGACCAACTCCAATCCATCCCTCCTGCTTAAAGCCCAGTGCTGTGAGGGAACATGGCCGTCTCAATCTATGGTTCCTTCTTGGGTGCCTACATGCTCACTATGGGAGATACATGTTGGCTGCCAGAAGGAATTTTCTGCCAAGGATGTTCTGGAGCAGGAGGTTCTACCGAATTGGAATCTTTGGCTAGGGTGTTTTGGTAGATTATAGTCGATTTCTACAGGGATTGTGAAGAAACACTATTTTAGGCCTGAGGATTTGCATGCCCGACAATCAAATCATGTTAAAACCCAAACCACATCTACAGTTGCAACTACGACTACGAAATTGGCAAGCACTTGATTCTGAAACATGTGAAGCCTGGGAAGGAACCTCTGTAGACTCCAAGAATCTGAAGCTCCTGTTTTTGAGTGTTATGCTGGCCTCAGAATCTAGCGGGAGGCCGTGGGGTCCTGAAAACAAAACACTTGTCCTCTGGTAGAAGGTATCAACATTGGGGCAAGAGTTTCTCATTCAGGTCCCCTTATGTACCCCATTCTCTTATATTATCTTCTTCGCCCATGTCTTGGAAACGCGCATCTTGCTTTGGCTTGCCATGCTGCCCGCTCGGCGGAGTACTTCACAATGCCGTTGTGCAGGAACGGCGCATGGGATGGGTCGAACGTATTCTCCATGGACACCTGATGGGCTGATTCCTCCTTCTTGTCCAACCTACCTAAAGACTCATCTAACTTATAGCAATAATTATAGCCCGTAGGGTAGAAGCCGAAGTATGCCAAGTCACAGCAGGTTTAGGGTTTTCGGGACTCTTTAAAGGACTTTGCTCCATGGCCAAGGTGGGATGATGCCTGGTAGCCGACAGGAGCGACCGTCATGATCCATTCCTGAGCTCCCTCTGCATTTTGACAGCTTTGGAAAACCAGGAGAAATGTGAAAATGAATGAACACGCACATAGTTGCTGGAGAACTCACCAGTGCTTCTGCAGAAGCCGTCTGTAAGTAAAGATTCCAACTTCCAACTGTATGCAGGACAAAGAGCCCAAACCAAGCACATGGCACGGTTTTCAAGAAAACAAGTGCTAAGCCAAAGCTGTCTTGCACTTCGTTATCGATTGCCAGCGAAGGTCTGCTCCATCCATCTCAGGGGTGACGCAGGGTGCAGACCTCAATGCGGCAAACAAAAAACACAGTTCCTGTCCTCGTGTCTCACGTCTCATTTTGCGCTCACAATGCTTTAGTTTTCATGTACATCTTATATGACTTTTCGTGAGTATAGATATTGGTACTCCTGCAGTTTCTGTTTCTGCTTGTGTGTCTCGCAAATAAAATTGTTTTCCAAGTAAACATAGCAAGATTACTGTTTACCGAATCGAAGGCGTGCACCTGCAATCCATATCTCAACTGTCACTATGTATGTTCATGGAGACATTTTGGACTTCAGGATGCCTTGCTTAGGCTTCAGGCTCGAGGTTTGATGTGTCACCTAAGTCACAGCTTGCTTTGGGGATGTGATTAACACAGGCGGGTTCCTTTGATCCAGCCACTCGGCTCGCCAGACTCTGCTGATGATGTGTCTGCAACCGCTTTACACTCCAGCTCTTAGCTGCTGGACCATGAAGTTGCCCTGGAATTCGGGAATGACCCCGAAACGAAAGCGTAAGACTTGACAATCAAATTCCCTGAAGCCCTACAACTTGACTCAGAGTCTCAGCCAGAAGTCCGAAATTGCTGAGCAGTCCCCCGCCCTTGGCCCCCAAACCCTTCAACCTCTGTATCCCAAAGCTCCAAACCCCTACTCCTGAAACCCTGACAATTGTTCCCCTAAGTTCTGCTAGGCAACTTCTTGGCCTGAATCGCAGCGTCTTGGCCCGCTGAAGGGAAGATCCACACCAGCCCCTGAGCTGCACGATCTTTCCAAGAATTGACGATTTGGGTTCTCTTGAAGGAGGTCGCGGGGACTTGTCAGTCTTGCGTGAGGAGTATATGCGGAGGGTTGGTTGAGGTCAACGCGGCTGGCGTGGCCCGCTTCAGCGGCTCCCGCGCGGAGCACTGCTCTAGGCTTGTCTTTGGCTTGGGCGCTAATAAATATTTGAGGGCCGCTCCAGCAGGAGAATTCCTCAGCATTTTTGGGGTTGTGATCCCGCCCCCACCACAATCCCCACGCGCTCGTGCGCCGTTTGCGAAGTACAAAACTGCCATGGCTTTTGGTGCCTGGATGGCAATCGTTCAGAAATCGTGGGTTGGGTATAGATGAATATTTGAAGAACTGGGGTTTTGGGAGTCCATATGACGAGGATCAATGAACTTCGGTGCAAAATCAAGAATAGTGCCCTTCATGGAAATGCACCCAAGGTCTTGAACGTCTATGGGCAAAGCGGTTTCAACACGCATTTTGCACACAGCAGGCACACCCCAGCATAGGTACCACATACAGCGCCGGTCCCCTGATGGATGTGGGACTTCGGGGTCAAGGTTGAGATCACTTTTCTGAAGAGATTGAAGGCTTGCAAAACTCTTATGCTCGGCAGCATAGGTGCTATGGAGGCCATTTTGCAGACGACATGGGGAACGTTGTTGGGTATCATCGTGGTATAGTGATTGGGATAGGGTTGATGTACTTTCTTTTGCATTCTATTTCATGTCCAAAGACAGCCAACCAACTGAGGCTGGGGGGCCTGCTGCCGAAATTCGAACCTTCAGACTGGACGCTTAGACTCTGGGACCCTCTGAGAGTTACAATTTGCATCCAGGCGGGTTGCCTGAGAACCAAACACAAAGCATGATCTCGGATTTGCTCACTGTGATAGATCTTTACAGGATTTTCTGGACTTCGGGACTGCTCATCGTGCGAATGCCCTTGACAACACCACATTTTCAGCGTGGGCAAGTGCAATAGTGTCCTGAACAAATCACTCGCTTGAAGCCAAATTCAAGAAAACGAGCTGCCCTCAACTTGAAAAAGTTTCAATACTAGTTACTGGTGATTCTGCGCCTTCAGCCTTCTGACCCGGGGCAAAATCGAAACCACACCACAACGATTTCCCCACTTCCCCCCATCTAACTTGCAAGAAACCCCATAAGCCCTGCTCGAGAGGACAGTGGCGGCTACAGTGCCCCTTTTTTGGATTTCCTTCGGGGAAGGTATATCTAAAAGATCCGGTCCTGCTTCACTTGCACTGGGAATGTCGTCAGACAGGAGCGCGCCAGCCCGCACATTCGCGCCTCCTGGAGGGGGTGATCTTGCTGACGACTGCAACCACTACTGTTGATACTCTTCTTACAAATGTCACCAACCTATTTCAAGATTCTGAGAATCTAGGCTCCTACATTACTCTGCTACTTCTGCTCCTTGCTATCTCCACTACTGACATCGCTCTCACAAGCGGCTAGAGCCACGGCTGACGGCATCTGCAAATAAGTGCAGCATGGACTGGCTTTTGATTGTCGACTTCTGGGCCCATCTCTGCACCATGGAAGGTCACGCAACCAAAATATATCCGCTCTGTAAACTCTTTTCAACCAGAGGCTGAGGGTATGCCTGTAGCTGAGGAGCTTCATCATAAGGACGCTACACCCTGAACCACAAACGCCAAATCCGACATCCCAGTCGCCAAATTCTAAATCCTAAGCACTAAAATGTAAACTTCAACAAGTACGAGCTGTCATTTTCCAGAATCTCCAGGGCTTCGGAAACTTACAAATGCGGATCAAGGCCGCTGCTGGAGCCCCAATTGCAAAATGATTGCCTTTGCTATGCAAAGAACAGGCGCCACAAGAAATCGTCAGTCTTAGACCCTGCTTGAAACTTGAAAAACGCTGCAACATGCTGAAACCTCAGCTTTTGGCGTAAACCAGCCAGAAAAAACAGAGCCACCATCCAACAGCTTGCAGGCCAAATCCTGAACAGTTACTTGCGGCAACGCAACTTCGCACAAAGCACACCCTCAAGTCATGCTTAGGGTGATGAGTAATTTCGCCCAAAGTTCGACCGCTCGAAATCCAACATTTTCAAGGTCGAACCTGAAAGGACGCGCTATAGGAAGCCCGTGCCTAAATTAATTGCAATGCATCTACTGCCCTCACAGGCTCTCATAGGTAGGGTCCCGTATCAGGAGTCTTAGTTTCTTAGTTCCATTCTACAAGCCCCACGAAGCCTCGGCATCGTTTCGGGCCATGGGAACGGACACACAGCTTCCAGCCTTCAGACATCTGCGATTCCGACAAGGATAGAAGCCAACATGATGACCAACATTATGCCCTTGTGGCCCTGATATAATTCTTATTCGATAATGCATCCACTAACCTTGCTCTGATTATTTTGGCCCCTAAACTGAGCTGCGTCAGGAAAGCTTTGCGGCTAAGCAACGCCATTGAAACACCAGCCATGATATCGGCAACGTAGCTGGCCTGTCTCCAGAACCTGAAGCAGCAGCTGTTCTTCCGTGTATGCCTTGCCTATACGGAGCCAGAATTTTCCTGTTTCTCCGAACCCTAATAAGCAATTCAAAAAATGACAACGGTTGATGCTACCTCTTTAAGGAAACTCTTCCCAATCTACCAGGACTTAAGATGGCTGGATTCTACCGTGGTTCGTATACTGCCCACACGGACACGAGGAGGATAACCACAGCCGCAACTCTGGCCACGCCAACTGCTGCGGCGTGTGCCGCAGCACACTGCCAACCATCACTAGAATAAAGAACAGCTCTGGACAAAAACCACGCCCGCTTTCATGCAACCTGTCCTTGCTCTTTCCAGCTGCCTTTGTTCAACATTCTACGCCTACGCCACCGTAGTATTTTCGTGGTTGCAGTTGTACGTAATTGCCAAAGCCCCTCCGCGGCCTTGCCTTGCAACTACCCAGACTGAAGAAATACCTTTGTTTGAGGGCGGAAGTACTTACAGGTCGAGAGCAGAGAAGTCGCTGATGCAGCCAGAACTGAAAGACAGCTACAACAAGAAAACCATTCACACCACCCACAAGCATAATGAATCCAGATTTGAAGGTCCAGTGGCTTCGCCAGCAGACAGCGGAGCCATTCTGTGGGGGCAGCTGTCCAGGGCGGCATGCCAGATGTTTTTGGTTACATCAGAGCACCAAACCTAAGATTGCAACTCAAGGTTACCATTCGGACTTGCGGAAGGCTGGCACATGCGACCTTTGTGCCGCGGATTCAAGCGTCCCAAGCATGCGCTTACTCACCTAGGCAAACTGTGATGTTGACAAGCCTGCCAGGATCAACACTTGGCCAGGTGGCAACCATTCGCTTGCCCAGCAGCTTGACAGGATTTGGCCTGGCTGGACCCTCTATGTCCCCAGAACCGGGTAAGACATTGACTTTCTGGCCCTTTGGGAGCCCTCGAAAAATCTAGAACAAGACTTTTGTTTAGTATAATACTTACACGGGCAAATACTTTCAACTTTGATCCGTAGTAAACAAAACTGCTTTTGGTCTCATGGCCACAATCAACTGTCAAGCCCGGCCCAATTTCTAAAAGCCATGCGATGCTATATGCTTCTTCGGTTTGTGCCTTGAAATTGAAGACTCTGGAGTTGCATCGGCCAAAAGACAGACCGCAATACTGAGAATTTCGCACGTGGAAGCAATGCTCCAAGATGAGGGCGAAATGAGGAAAGGCGCAAACATCGCAAACTGGGAACATTGGTCACGCCGGATCATTAAAAAGAAGCTGTTCAGAGAGCAACTTGCCAAGATCTGTGGATCATATGAACCCGAAACTCAATGCCTTACGTACATGCAGAAACTGCGAACAGACTTTCCATCCAAGACAGGACGACCGCTGCCATCTGCGGCATCCTTATCGCAGTCCCCTTGTAATCTCGAAGTACTTGATCGTGCCAATTTCTTTGCCATTCCTCTGTTTCCGACCAACCAGCAGTAAGGGAAACATGCTTGAAGCTGGACTCCGGAAACCCTGAGTCCCCGATAGGGTTCCTGGTACGTATGATTTAAGGAGCAGTAAACCCTTAAGCATTAAGCCTAAACCATGCATAGACCAGTGAGGACAACCAAGGAAGGCGCTTGTCGGCGTGCAAGTAGTCAATAGGTGCCTTAGGTGTCCACTGTCTAGGTTATCAGGGTTTACGGTCTAGGGCTTACAGCTTAAGTTTTTCTACTACAGGAAAAGGGTCACAGGTTGTCGACTTCATAGGTAAGGTGCGATGGGATACCATGCGCGGTTCCAGTCGAAGTATTCCTTCGCCTCCCACAGGGCTCGAAAACATTGGAGGGCCGTCCTGAAGCCCAATATCTTGAAGCCAGAATGCCCGTCTAAACCCTAAACTCCATACTTGAGACATGCTTTTCATAGGAAAGGGGCTTTGGCGTAACAAGCCTCATCTTCAAACCAACGCTAGCACTTACATGCTTTGTCCGAGATTTGGGGCATCAACGTCCCGAAATATGTTTTCTTCGGTGCCTTGGAGGTCCAGGGTAGCGAGAACCTCCCCATACTTGTACTGGACTTATAATGACTAAGCCCCCTCATATGCTTAAAACTGGGCAATTAGTACATCTACAATTAGACGACAACAAGCCTGAACCTTCAAGCAGCAAAGGGCTTTGAAGTTGGCAGAAATTGGCCACTGCCTGCATGGCAGCAGGTGCAATGCTCCAATATAAGATCCAATATATCACAATCCTCACTACAAGGGTGCCCCCTAATCTGTGTTGGGGACCCTAGAACATCCTTACCTCGCAGGACCCCCAGTTTCCAGGCCTGCTTTTTCATCTCCTTGGTGACCGCATCCTCATCACCGTCCTTGGGCTTCCTGAGGCGGAAAGGCTGTTCATGGCTGCGTCCTTCTGGATTTAGGGTGCAGGTCATCTTTGGGGTCGAGGAATCGGGGTTCAGGGGTTTAGAGATGTGGACTGCATGTTTTGGGGTAGACTCGGGGTCTTGAGTTTCAGGCCTGGTGGCTTAACAGGCAGGAAATCTGTTATAGTGCAAGATTTGCCTTGATACATGCCTAGCTTCTTACTGGTGCTGAAGGGAGTGGTGGACTGGATCTCTATAATCATCATACTTCCCAGGGTAGCCCTATACATGGTCATGCAGGATTTTGTCTATCAACGTGTTTTTTCTTACGTTTTATATTGTGGTAGGAGGAGAACAGTAGTCGCATGCGTGCGCCCAAGGACGTCTTCTTTGAAGTTCTTGAGTTCCAGAAAGCTTGAAATGGTACTCCGATGCTCTGCACCATTCTGCACCGGTCCACTTTCGGACTCTTGTAGAACATGAGCCCAAAATCACAAACACAGCTGACAGAAAGTCTCATTGAACAGAAGCCCTTGCCAAATCAGGGCAAGAGTGTTGTCCAAAGGGGCCTTGCAAACCTTAACTTTGGCTTCCCCGCCGCGCTATCACTATCGTAGGATCATAGATTTCTGAAGCTGATGGTGTTCAGACGTTCTGGCAGCGGCCAAACATCCAGCACTTCTGGGTATGCAAGGGCTCACGATTCTAAATCCATAGAGGTCAATAGTCAGGAAAATGATTTAAGGGCCTTGATCAGGCTTCGGCATTTTGGATATAAAAGTACTCCTATGAGTGAGCCATGTGCGCGTCCAAGCATCTCTTCAGGCTGAAATGCTTCCAGCACCTCCATGTCGACAGCCTCTTCAAATGGTCATACTTTTGGTCCCTTGTCACGTCCCTATAATGCGGCCTCTACATTACATTTAGGGTGCCAGAGGAGACCACAAAATCCACAAGCCCCCAAGCCTACTTGGACAATTGAGAGAACTGTTTCCCAATCGCCTCAAAACTAGTCAAGAGGGACTTATACGGCCCCTCTGCTGGATCCTAAAGAGCGCTTCTTCTGAAAAGCTCAAACATTCTGTTTGGTTCCAGGCTTTTGGAGTTTTCTCATGATAGGGTATGCCTGGGAATCTTGAGGACCATAAAGGGTTTCCGAGGGTCCGTTCTTCGGGAATATGTAGAGGCTACTAAGGCTATGTGTTGGGAAATTTCATACATACCGACTTGACCCGGCCTTACTAAGGGGCCGGCAGGAGGACTGGTTCACAAGGTGTTCAGTGTGTGCTCAGTTTGCAAGCCTGAATAGTTACCAACACTCAAAGTTCAAGTGGGAAAATGGCATGGACACTGAGTCATATAGGGGATTATTGGATGTAGAAGCCTCAAATACTAGCAACATCATTCCTTTGTAGACTCTAGCATAGTGAGCTCCAAAGTTGTGTTCTACTTGAACAGGAGACTTCCATACGAATATCCAAACCCTGTATACACCTAGTTCAATGAAGATGTCCTTTTCCATTAGCTGTTCCATTTGATTCTCCATCATTCAAGATATTGAGGCCCCTACATGAGGCGGAGCAACTCGAAGCCTATGATGACACATGCAAATGGAGGAAGCTCAGAAGACTTCTGTCTTGACAGCCGGCAGACCGCAGGCTGCTGATAGCCCAAAGCAACTACCATTTAGGTCCAGAGTAGGAATTCTTCACAGACTTGGGGCTTTAGAAAGGGGCTCAACCCAAAGCCCAGACCCAAAAGCGCATAGAATGCGATCAGAACCTTGGATGTCGTAGCTCGTGTTTTAGGTGCGTAAGGTGCATCTTGGCAGGGGATCTGCACTCAACTTCAACGACAACCGGCTCTGCCACATTCAAAGACGCCAGGCTCAAACACACACGAAGTTTGTCAGATTGCTGCCTCATTCCTTTCTGGTGCTGTCTCCTCGTCTTTGTCACTGCTTCTCCTTTGAGCTTGGTCACCGCGTAAGAATTACCAATTACTGCGTTCTGAGGGCTGCCAGCAGGACTTCAAAGGTTCAGAACTTAAGGAAAGCCGGGGTACCAACCGCAATGAAGAAGCCTGAGCGCGTACCAGACTCACGCCCAAATTCTGGCAAAACTGCAGAATGGAATAGCTCAAAACCCTATTCTAAGCATTCAGAACGCTACAGTACTGTTGAGCTACTTGGCCCGGGCACCCTACAGTACTGTCGAGCAAAGTGGCCCAGGCTGAGTGGATTGTGAGGAATTATATTCCTAGAGGCTACAACCCTAAACCCCAAATCCTAAGTAAGCAGAAGCCGCCTAACCGCAAAAGGTAACCATCAACTCCGGTGCTACACCAGGGCTAGAACTTGGGAAATTTCCAGCGACGAGCTGAGTGAAGGGGGATTGTGTTGGGAAAAATCATCAACAGCTGACTTGCATCATGAAGCAGCGCAACTACGTGCAGTCCAAGTCAACATCCTTCTGGCTCGAGATGTTACATCCAGCAATCTGGGCTTTCAGGTCTGAAAACCGCAGCCGTTAACTTGTCAATTTGGGAGTTGATTGCCGACTCATGTAGAATCCTCAACAACTAGGAAGTTCATCCCACAACAGCCAGAACACTTCATTGTTCTTCAAGCCCCCACAGCTTACGTAGGGCCCTACACTCTACAGTCTAAGAAACTCTTTTTGCCCGTACATCTCCCATTACAAGCTGTTGCTGTGCAAGCGTCTCTTCGGATTTCAGCGCGCCGAGAACCTCCTCCATGACGCTGACTGCCTGCGTGCACTGAACACAGGGATGACGCTACACTGAGGACCCCGTGTCTGATCTTGGACTACATTGTTAGGGCTTGGCTCCAAGTTCATCGACCTGCTGCGCCCCGGAGAGCTTCTCCTCTTTGCTCACTTTCTCTGATTTGTCCTTGGCTTGTTCATGGCCAGCAACGGCTTGAAATCTCAGGTAATGGCTTCCAACACTTAAATGCCGGTGATAAGACAGTATGAACAAATTGAAAACAGGCTTTGCCGATTTTGCAAGCACGGCCTTGCTACGCCGGCAAGAAGTTTTGGGAGAAGAGATGCGTACACATTATTCGAATCGGATGGATCCCAACCATAGATCCTGAATCATGATATTACGCGTAAAGAATTTATTTGCAACCNNCCCCCCCTCCCCCCCTCCCCGCCTCCCTCGGCTTCTCTTCGGGCTTGTCCTCCTCAGATTTTGATTCCTTTTCTTCGTCGCTGGAATCTTTCCTGGGTTTGTTCTCCTCCTCCTTGTCATCGTCCTGCGAAGCTTTCTCTCCGGACTTCGATGCCTCCTCTGTCTTCTCTTCTTTGGGCCTGTCTTCCTCGGATTTCGAGTCCTCCTCCTCCTCATTGTCGCTGGAGTCTTTCTTGGGCTTCTCCTCCTCCTCCTCCTTGACGTCTTCCTTCTTGTCCTCGTCCTCTGAGGCTTTCTCTCCAGACTTTGATTCCTCCTCTGTCTTCTCTTCTTTGGGCTTGTCCTTCTCGGATTTCGACTCCTTCTCATTGTCGCTGGAATCTTTCTCGGGCTTGTCCTCCTCCTCCTTGACGTCTTCCTTCTTGTCCTCGCCCTCTGAAGCTTTCTCTGTCTTCTCTTCTTTGGGCTTGTCCTTCTCGGATTTCGACTCCTTCTCATTGTCGCTGGAATCTTTCTCGGGCTTGTCCTCCTCCTTGACGTCTTCCTCCTTGTTGTCGTCCTCTGAAGCTTTCTCTCCAGATTTTGAATTCTTCTCCTTGTCACTGGAATCTTTGTTGGGCTTGTCCTCCTCTTTGGCAGCATCCTTCTTTTCCTCATCCTCTGAAGATCTCTCTCCAGAATTCGATGCCTCCTCTGTCTTCTCTTCTGCAGGCTCGTCCTCCTCGGATTGAGACTCCTTTGCTTCGGGTTTATCCTCCTCATCTGCCTCTTCTTTCTTCTCCTGTGAATCTTTGTGTTGTTTGTCCTCTCCAGATTTTGACTCATGATCTTCATCACTTGGCTGTTTTGAGTGCTCCTCCTTTGGTTCAGCCTCTGTCGTTACCTCTTGCGACTCTTGTGCATGAGAAGGCTCCTCACTGGGACTCCTTTCTGACTCCTCTGCATCCTTTGTGGGGGCTTAATTTCAGAGATGGTCTTAGTATGTATATAAAGGACTTCATGAGGATCTTCGATTTCGGAAGCAACGGTGTAAACTTCCTTCTGCTTGCTACCAGACTCGGTTTCTGACTTCTGTGAATCCTGTGCCTCTGCAGCACCTTCCGATGACTTGGACTCTCCACCTTGCTGGTGGTCAGGATGGATTGCAAAAAACCTAGAAAAATGGCTTTAGATTCTGGGACTACTTGGAGGATTCCTTCCTTCTGTCCCTAACCACAGCAAGTCACCCTCGTCGCCACTGCCACCTTCGGAGTCGGCTTTGGACCCCTCCTTGGTTCGGAGGATTCGGCAATATAAGAAACCAATACTACCGAACAAATCGGCCCTTTTGCCTTCAAAGACAAGCGGGACCTTTGCTCGTAGTTAACCCTACACATATATTCCCTATGAGGATCGTCGGTTGTGGCATCGTCTACTTGGCCATCGCTATCTGCTGATGTCGCAGCTTCCTCGGCGCTGGCAAGCCTGAGCTGCCGCAGTACACAAAAGGCAAACGAGCTTCATAGGACTTACTGATTGGTTACCTTCGCGTTTAGAGCACCATCCGTAACTGTGGTGTAAGGCAGATGATAACCCAGCTACATATATTACGTCGGATCAACCTACGTTGTGTTCAAAATGTATTCCTGGTGGCTCGTGATTGTGGATGGGAAGCCCCAACCACAATGCTAAACCCCTAAACCTTACCCTCAAACCCTCCACCACAAGAACACTTGTGCATCGCTCTTGCTTCATCCGAAAGCTCGCCAGACCGTCGCCAGCTGGACTCATGCCCCTGACGCCTCAACACCAACCCTGAGCCCCTAAACCCTACAGTCATTCGATCAGGACATATTCCATTTGATCGCTTCGTCTGTTGTTCCTCTCTGCTGTAGCGGGCCAGGGCCGGGCATGGGAATGGCCTCCCTTGGTTAATACGTTGTGATCCTCGAGGCCAAGGAGCAATTGATTCAGATTGGTAGCGGAGCTCTGGAAGTGGGCATCCACAGAGGGAGCGAGAGATTGATATGGCGACTGCGATTGATTGATCAGGGTATCACTCCAAGGCCATGCGGAAGGAAGGGGCTGTTTGGCATTGGCGACCTTGATGGCCGCTGCTAGAGTTGAAGAACGCAGCAACTCATCCTTTGATCCATCCTTGGATAGAGTTATGGAGAGCAGAAGTGCATACACTTTGAAACCATTGTTAACACGCATTGGCTGTCGACCAGCCCATTTCAAACTCGCTGTGTTTTCATAGGCTCTCGGCAATGCCCTTTTTGACCAAGAGAATCTTCAGTACGGCAGACCCATCCAGCGGTACCAGGAATCTCCATCGTTTTAGAGCCGAATAACTTGCCACCTTGCCAACAGAGGAACCGCAGATGGAGCGTGTGTTCCGGAACGACCAAAATCTTTCGAGCTCAGAAACGGGCCAAACGAGCCTCCATGGTTGTGGACAGCAGCACAACTTTTCGGCAAACTCGTTTGCACAGAGTCCTGACTACTGGAGACGGATTGGTACCCATCCTGATAAAGCATGCGTATTGGTATGTACTGGCGAAGGTGATCGCCCTGACAGAAGGATAAGACGAGCATTCCAACAATTTTCCAAAGATCACCAAGGTTGGCTTCTGAGGGCCATAAATGTTGACCCCCAGATGTTTTTTCCGGAAGGTTAAATGAAGACACGGCCTGCCTCGCAAGTGGACCCCTGCCTGGTTATCCCGCAGGGCAGTGCGGAAGGTGGCCAAGGGACAGATGCCCGAAAAGAACATCATGCGATGCCGCTGGATCTGCCTCAGGCACGAAGCAACACTTGACGGCTGTAAAGCCAAGGCTAGCTTGCCACTGTCAGGGCTTGAGGGCTCAGATCTTGATAGTGTCCCAAATGATGGCCGCACCCTCTGAAAGTGGATGCCAGTTCCTCCTTCGGAGCATCTACTATTGGTGACAATTGCGCTCTTTCGACATGAGCACATATTAGCACTGCCCTCCCTCATAAACGGGTCGCGGACGCCTCTGTGGCATCCAGGCGCTCGTGAAAGCATAGAGGCTCTCTTCATGACAGAAGGCGATGACTCGGAGCTCTTCAGAGGAGTGGAGGGGAGAATTGATGCTCCTCGTCTCTACTAGGAACTTCGAAGCTTGATCTTCGGCTTCACCTGCCCGCTTTGACCCCAGTGTCTTCGCCTGTGCCAGCCAGACTCAGACAGCTTCGGGTCAAACTACATCTCATACGGTTTGGGGTGTTCGAGCCGATGCCGCGGTGTGTAGAGGGAGATGAGGTCTTCATGGATGTGCTTGCGAAGCAGCAGGCCAAGTTTTGTAGTTTTATGTTTACAGGAGTTGGACTTGATCAAGGGGATGACGAAGCAATGGCATTGAACTAGATCAGAGGGTTCATGTCCAAGCAATCGCAGCCATTCATTTCCTCGGCGGCCATAGGAAGAACCCCAAACTCCAGCAACACAGCAAATGAAGGAGAAGGCCTCCATGGTTCGAGTCAGCAGACAGCATCAATGTCCTTTACAAAATCCATAAATCAAACAGGAGCTCTAGTGAGTGTGAAGCAATCCGGACATGATTTTTTCTGACTGCTTCGTCGCTGTGTCTCTCTCAAGGCTCAGAGGAAGTAGCAGGCTCTAGGGTCGGGCATCTTGAGCCCAGCGGCCGTGCTCGCCACACGGAGGGAGAAAAGGGCACTAATGGATTCAGACCCCAAACGCCCTTTAACCTAATACATTAGATGGACGCCCACCCTGTAATAGTGGCAGAACAAGTATACAAGAGGACCCTAACATAGTTCCTACCTAACCTATCCACCCTTTTACCTGCAAGAAGCGTGATGCGAGCTCGGGCTCGGCTCGTAGACGGCGATCTGCGTGCCAACCAGGATGCTCCTGGCAAATGTAGGGGCTTAGATAAGTAATAGGGCTTAGGGCTTGGGTCTTACAAGCGCTCTAGGGACCCAAATAGAATTGGGTTGATATTTTTCAAAACAAGGGCACATTCAAACGTGGAAATATTCAGTGCCTTTCGCTGTAGAGATGTAGGGGTGTAAGGCCTCCCAAACGGGCCCTTCAAGAACTTGAGGGATGCGTTGGAGCGGGCGGTGTTCATGGTTCAGGAATGAGGAATCAATTGCATCGCTGCACCTGGATCATGATCCCATATGCTTTCCTCCGTGCGACGTGCGCAATAGAATATCTTGTTCTCCGTGTGGAGCTGTATAAGCTAAATTATCCGGTGCCCAACCTGAATCCCAAACAAAATCCTCTTCCCCCCAAGCCCTAAACCATCTCAACCCTAAGCCCTACTCTCTAAACCCTGTTGTTGGCCTCTGCTCAAGCCAAGCAGGAAGGCGGACCAGCGTGGCCACCAAACCTGTACCAAGATTCGAAGGAAACTCATCTAGGGAATACTGTAGATCCCCACAACAACCCTTTTGGAAGCTGTTTTACTGCGTAACTAATAACCATGTTTAGATGGATGAGGAGTTCACTAGCCAGGAAGCATCGCATGGGCTATTTTGTGGAATGTTGGGTATCAGTTAGCCGCTAGCAAGCTCACATGAGTTCCGCGCAGCAGTCATTCTTATGTTTTCAGTCTGATCCAAACCCCTGCGGTTGCATACGATCTGTAATGCTATCACATTGGGTTATCCTGCATTGCAAACTTAGGGTAAGGAGGCGGAGGAGGAGGGAGGGGTTGGGTGACATGCGGAAGGGAATCTGATTTTGTTCGCGCAGGTGCAATCTATGGAAGGATTGCGTGTGGATAGACCCAGGTCCTACTTGGCGGCTCAGAACACGAAGTACCTGCTTGCCGTGTTTGACTTTACTTACTACTCTAGCAAGACTTACTACTACCATCACGTCCAATAGTAACCCAACAACCAAGGTTGCAGGGGCTATAACATTCTGTGGTGCTGCAGACTATGTGGTTGGTCAAGGTTTAAGGTGGCCCACGCCATAGGCAGAAAGATGGCAAGGGTTTTTGATTATGGTTTAGCTCTTGGTCGTGGCTCAGTGACCCGAACTTTGCTGAAATCCAGGACGCAGGGTGCAATGATGAGCTACAACATGTTAGCTACAACATGTTGCACAGACCCTGAAACGCAAAAAGGCCTCTGAACACTCTTGGCCCCGGAAGGGGTGATGCCCCTAGGAGGGCGCTGGAAAGGATTGTTGAGCAGGCAGGCCGGTAAAAGGCCCCTGCTTCTAGTGTTCAACAAGGCTTTTCGAAAGACTTGGGTGCTGGGATACTTCTTGAACATCCTGACCCGCACCCTCTACATAAGCTAAAGCTTTTGCACAAGATCTGCACAGCCTGAGCTGAAAATTGTAAGCTGTGGACATTGCTTCAACTAGCTGAGCACAAGTAGCTGAGCGAGTGATTCCGAAGTCGACTAAGCCAAAAGGCCCTGGACACCTCACCCTATTGGCCGTTGTAATTGCTTCGCTCGCTTGATTGTAAAGGCATAGCCGAATGCATGCACACAATTATCACAATTGCATTTCAGGCCTCAACATACACCCCCCGCAAAAGGCCAATACCTCAAAAACCAAGTGCGTGGATTGGTAGAATGGCCTGCTGCGCGTGTTGCCGCCTCGGTGTCGGAAAGCTATCCTGGCCACTGGTCAGACAGGAAGATCTGGCCTGCAAAAAAACTTAGGAAGAGACTGGACTTCAGCTCACCTGGTAACTTAAAATTCAATTGCAGCTTCAAGCAGCAGAGCTCGGAAGAGTTGTCAGCAAGGGTGGCAAGGCAAGGTACATGTTCAGTGCATAGCGCTGGGGCCACACACGACTCCACTTTTAACGTCGTAGAATCGCAGAAGGCTTGAAGCAGTGAGCTTGCCAAGGCTGCGAAGCAGAATATGGGAGCGGAACTTCTAGGGTAATGATCACGACAAGATCCTGCATGACCCAGTCTTATGTATTGCATAGGGTCCCTACACTTGACAACTGATCGTCCACTCTCGTATCAGCAGCTTTTTTTCGTTCCGGCACCCTCATTGAGTCACCCAGGGCCAGGTTGATTGGAGGTCATATTTAGTTGACACATAGACGAGGGTCAGAGCCAGTGTATACGACGAAGCTGCAGCAGGGAATCTGGATGCTTTTGGAAATCATCCTGCAACTCTGATTCCGGCCTTCAACCCGAAAGTATGCATCCCAACTTCGGATGGCCTGCCGCAGCTGATCCCGTGCCCGGGCGCCAGGCGCTGGGATCGTCGCTGGCCAAGGCCGCAGCCCAAGGTGCGCACGAGGTGACGCCGGTGACACCATGGCTTAGCTGATCATACTCTATAGGAGTCTCAAGAAGTAACTGTGTGACCTTTGCTTGCATAAGACCTTGGGGCGGGCACATAAGCATACTGGGTTCCGGGTGTCGTACGATGGCAATTCCAGAGTTCGGGGGTCAGGGAGCTAAATCCCGAAGCACGCGCGATTGCAACTGTAAGAAACCATGACACAGC